AAGTAAATTTTTACCCTCCATAAAAATGAGTAAATCTTCAGAATGTTTCAACGTGTACTTAAAAACTATTTTAGAGTCTTTAGTTTTTTCTATTAATCACAATAAAAACAATTGGTTTGTTTTGAACAAACAAAAACTTCAAGACATTGTTGAAGCTGGAATAGATATTTTAAAATTCGATACTAGAAAGTTCACTAGCGTGCCTTTTTTTTTTCAAGATTACCAAGATGATTCCGACGTCATTAAAAATTTAAAATATGTAATTTTTTTATTTCATGAATTAATTAAATAAATAATGAAAGGAATAAATATTTTACCTTGAAAAGTAAGAACTCCAGACTTATTTTCTTTTTAAATTCCTATTACACTATTTTTTTTCAAATTAAAATATTCAATAAATTAATAATTTTAAATATAATAATTATTATCACTGAAATAAAAAGTATCAATGGTGATAAATTTATTTAATTTTAGCATTAATTATTTTGCCGAATACGTAAAATGGCGGCAATTGATTGATTTCGCGCTTATATTTGTAAAATTGGCAACACTGTTACTAAAGCACACGAAGGCTACATGAAGTATTTTGAATTGTGATCATTATGTCAAGGTTTTACACTGTGATGACGGTTATTTTTTCCAATACTGATATTCAATAGACTAAAATTTTTAAAAAATGGCTCAAGAACCAAGTAAAACAACTCCTAATTATATTAAATTTGCTTTTGGAGGGCTGTCAGGGTTAGTATCAGTGGTTATTGTAATTTATTTTATTTAAAAATAATTTTTTACGAATTCAAGGATTATATTAATTTTAGAATTGCATTACTCTCTAAATTATGAAATTTTTGCATTCTTTTTAATTTTAATAACGACACTTATCATGAATTTTTAAATTAATATATAGATTTTTCAAAAAGTATTAATTAAAAATTAATTTCTATTATATTTTTAAAATTCACTTAACTAAATTATTAATTGTCAAATTTTTAATTACATTTAAAATTTATTCAATGTCACTTTTATTTTTCCTACTAATGTTTTTGAAAATGTTATTTTTGTCGACATTTTATTGTCTTCGTTTTTGTTTCTTTTTATTTTTTGTTTTCAAAATTTTAATTGTTAGCATAATAGATTCAAAAATCTAATATTGTCAAAGAGGAAATAAAAATAAGTTCTATCAAAAAGAATTACATCTTTTTTATAAATGTAATTATTAAAAATGTTATTGATACATTATTGATTTGCATAAAAAATGTGTTTATTTTTTTTTTTGTCACATATAAAAAAATTCATATTAATTATGTCATATAATATATTTAGAAATTATTTTTTATTTTAGTATGGCAGCCACATTTTTTGTACAACCACTTGACTTAATCAAAAATCGAATGCAATTAAGTGGTATGGATGGAAAAGTAAAAGAATACAAGACAAGTTTTCATGCTTTTTCAAGTATTTTAAAAAATGAAGGAATAATAGCTATGTATTCAGGTCTTTCTGCTGGACTCCTCAGACAAGCCACTTATACAACTACTAGACTTGGAGTGTATACATGGTTATTTGAAAATTACACTAGGTAGGAATTCTACAAGATATTAATAATATTTTATAATGTATATATTTACAAAATTTTAATATGGGCATTTATAATTTGATGGAAATTTTACCATTAACCGAGAATAGCTATTTTGTTACTAATATTATTTTTAATTTTATTTTTCGATAACTTAGTGCAAGTTAAACAACTTGTCGAATTATAAATGATGATAAATACATATATAGAGTGTAGTACAGGAAAATTGTATTTTTAGATTTTATAAAATAATGATAAAAAAAATAAAAATCTAGAACTTTTATTTTTGTGTTCTAGAATATGGTAAAAACTGAATTTTAATCTTGGATAGTGTAATGGAATCTGATAGTAATAAATAATTCCAAGTATGAAATATTCATAATCACGTTTTTTGTCGTGCGCCGATCATTAATAGTTCTGCTAGTGGGTATTTAATCATTATTTGTGAAAAAAATTGTTTTGTTTTTTTGTATTTAGTTTTATAATTAATGAAAGTCGATTAATAGTAATTTTAAAATTATAAATCTACTTAACAAGTCCTTCTTTCATTTTTTCAAAATAACTACTATATTAATGATTTAAAAAATTAATTGAAACATATATTTTATTGTAAAAATTTTTAAAACAGTAAAGATGGAGTTCCCCCTGGATTTTTGGTTAAAGCTGCCATAGGAATAGCTGCTGGTGCTTCTGGAGCATTCATTGGGACACCTGCTGAGGTTGCCCTTATTCGAATGACTGCAGATGGCAGATTACCCATTGCGGAACGAAGAAACTATAAAAATGTTTTTGATGCTTTATTGAGAATTGTAAAAGAAGAAGGATTATTTACGCTTTGGAGAGGAGCAGTACCTACAATGGGTAGAGCAATGGTTGTCAACGCAGCTCAGTTGGCATCTTATTCCCAAGCAAAACAATACCTAATAAGTACTAGTAAGTAAATGGAGGCCATTTATTAAAAAATTTAAATTCACGATATTAAGTGTGTTTGTTCTATAATTATGAATACTTTTTTTTTTTTAGCATATTTCAAAGATGACATATTGTGTTACTTTATGAGTAGTATGATATCTGGATTAGTTACTACCGCAGCATCAATGCCAGCTGATATAGCTAAAACTAGAATACAAAACATGAAAACAATTAATGGTAAACCGGAATACACTGGAGCAGGTGATGTTTTGATCAAAGTAATAAAAAAAGAAGGTATTTTTGCTCTCTGGAAAGGTTTTACCCCGTATTATGCCCGATTAGGTCCTCACACTGTTTTAACATTTATTTTTCTCGAACAAATAAATAAATACTACAAGTTGTTTGTTCTGGGAGAGAAAAATACTAAAGGATCAATTTAAATTGCAAAAAAAAAAAAAGGTACTTATATTAAATTAATCATTTATGGGTATATATAGTTCATATTTATAAAAAAAGGGTCAAAAAAAATATATACATATTTTTATGAAATATAAAAGTTAAGGGGCATTCACCTTCGAGTAAAATATTATTAATATAAATTTAATGCCAGGGGTTAAAATTATTATTATTATTATTATTTATATTGTATAGCTTTTTGATTCTATAAATTAATTAAAATAATTAGTGATATAAAATGGGTGCTTATTGATTAGGCAACGAGTGTTAATTTAATTATCTAATGCCAAAAATGACAATATTACTGTTTTATTGATATTTATTGTTAAAATTATTATCAAAAGCTCTCTCTAGTCTTAATTGATTTTTTTTATTAAAAAAAAAAAAAAACAATAATAAAAGTTATTATATTTACGTTATAATATATATTCAAAATGCAATATTACAATTATATTATATAATAATTTTAAGTTACATTTTTTTATAAAATATTTTTTTTTTTTTTTTCATTCGAGTTTTTATTCTAAATTTACAAAAAAATTATTTTTATACATTTAATTGTTTACTATTAAACTCTCCTAGAATAAATATAAACATTCATTGTTACCAATATTTCAAATTTATAAAAAAATATTTTTAGAATAATAAAAAAATTCAAATTTTTTTTGACCGTTACACGCGTCTGGTATTCGAACAATAATTTTTTTATAATTTTTTTTATTTATACTCATTTTATTGTGTTTCACACTCGTCTGATTATTTAATATTAAACGGCAATTTAAATTATTTTACAAAAATTTTTTATTTATCGATTACGTAACAATATTAAAACATTGTTAAAATTTTTTAAAATAAATTTATAACGGAAAAACTTGTCTATTAATTGTATATTTTTGTGAATAAATTTTTCAATATTCGAATCAAATCATTAAAAAATAAAGGAAAATCCAACGACGACTTGCTAAAATTATTGTTTTTTTGTTGTTATATTTATTTATTAATTAGTAACAATTTGTTTGGATATAATTATTATTATTATTATGATTATGTTATTTATTTATTTTAATATTGTCATTAAGGTGATATTGTTTTTTCTTGTTATTTTTGTTATTTAGATTACAAAAAAATAAGGTAAAATTATATTATGTTAATTATTTTTATTTATTACAAAAACAATATATATATATGTAGTTAGTTACTCATTTGGCAAGATATTATATAGTTTTTATTCTTAAATATAAATAATTTAATAAAAATATAAGGGATGTATCAAAAATAAAAATATATTAAATTTATTTATATTAAATAATTAATGAATCGAACAGGCATCTTTAAAATTTGTAGCATTAAAACTAGTAAAATAATCGTCGTGTAAAAATCGGATAATTGATTCGATGGGACATAAGGAAGCAGAAAACGGTTTTTTTGTGGGCGGTTCACTTGTTAAGTTGGCATGAATTGATTCAACTGAAATTCGCTCCAAATTTTTACAAAAATGTATATGATCTGTTAAATCACGTCCGTTATATACTAATCTAAAAAAATAAGCCGAAGGATGAGATTCATTATTGAAACCGTTACCCTTATACACTTCCAAAACTAATCTGGATGCATAATAAGCTGTTGCCGTGGTTTCAGATAATACACCTAATGCAGTGGTAATATATTGTAATGTCATGTCGTGCCCCGAATAGAGAACTAATTTTGTTTTCTTTTCAGATATTATGTTTAACATATGAGAAACTACATTTTTTAAGACTCCGTAAGCTCTCAGAAGACAAGAACGTTTCAAAGCTGAGCTCTTTGCATATTGTTTGGCTTCCCATTCGGCATAGGCGAAGAGGCCAGTGACGTGATCCATGTGAACACAATATTTAGAATTATCAGACTTTACCAAACATGGTAATGCTGCTCCGTGACAAACGTAAGTTAAAAAGGCATCTCTTAAAGAATGAGGATCATTAAATAAGGGGGTGCCGTCAATTTCATTATCGTACACAATAGGGGCTAATTTTTTGACTAAATCTATAATGGCGGGATGCGAATGAAAATGTGCAGAACGTTCTTTTGCAAAGATATGACTATATTTATCGACTGCGGGACAAGCGCAGTCATCAAAACAAAACGATACGCTATAACTTTCTTTCAAATTCATTTTGAGTAAATTATCTGGAGATAAAAATGACGTTAAGAATGCAATTGCGCTCTGAACCGTTCGCCTATATCGCGTCGTATATAATTTTGCATTATCACGTGACAAAGTTGAATTATTTATTCCTAATCGTTCACCGTAAGCTTCTTTTAAAACATTTCCTATTTTAAGAATTTGAGACAGTCCGACAGGTGTAAGTTGTCCCAACTGACATTTTTTCGAAAGTGGAGGAGTTAGTTGAAAATCGTTAAAACTTGCCAAAAATTTTTCTGCACTAGCCGGCCTACCTCCCGGTACCGAAAGATTTTTCATAAAAGTTTTAAATGTCGGATATAACGGATCGGATGAAAGCCTATTTTCCTCTAATAAATCTTGATCGCAACGAATATTTGAAATATTTCTCACGTGAGACATTGGACCGCGATCTCCATGCCTTAGAAATATAATGACTCCTTCTAAAGAATAATTTCCTTCCGGAAGTCCCTCACTTCCTCTAATAATTTGTGATGGTGGATTGCAAACTTTAAATATTCGTCTCATTTTTATATCGTATTTTGAATCTTTTAGATGATCCGCAGGTATATCGAGCATTATAGAATGATAAGACTGTGTATCTTCAACAGCTATGTATTTGTACATTCCTGATTTCAATAAAAAAATAAAAAAAATTTTTTTAATGAGATTATGGAGATACATAGAGTAAATAAACTAGATTGCAATTTTAATTTTAAGTCATTGTAATACAATTTGATTATTTTTATGAGATTGAACATAGTACCCCTAATATAATTTCAAAATTTAAATTTGAAATTAGGAATTTGTTTAACAACACATATTTCTAGTTCAAGAAAAAGTATTTTTTCATTTTTAACATCTAAATTATAACTTTTGATAGTAAAATTAAAATTAACTTAAATTATTTTCAATTTAATTAATTTTTTTTGAAACAAGTGTTGAAATGAATATCGAATAGTAAAACTTAGATTTTGAGAATTTTTACACAATCGGTTATTTAAAGTTGCTAAAAAAATTAATTTTATGAATTTGATATATATATATAAACAATTTAAAACAAAAGTTTTATTTAATTTTCAGTATAATTTGAAGAAAATGCATGACTACTTAAATCATTTCAAACGACTAAAGTTTATTATATCATTATTTAAATTATTGATTTTACTCTTTAAAAATTAATTAATACAACCCACTTTGAAATTATTAATTATGCTTTAATTATAACATTTATATAAATAAGAAAAAAAAACTAAACTTAATAATCGTCTATTAAAAGAATGATTTAAACTTTTAACACAATTACCCAGCCAGTAATTTTTTTTACAATAAAATTTTTCCATTTATTGGCTAAATGGCCAATATTTATATTAAATAAAAAAATTTATTTAAAATAACTTTCTTAGGAAAGCTAATAATAAAAACTATAAAATATAAGTAATATAAAGTGCTATATCGAAAGGAAAGGTGCAACAGAAAAAAAAAGCAAAAAAAAAAAAAAATTAAATAAATAAAAAAATATATTTGAAAAAAAAAATAATAATAATAATTTAAATGAAAAAACAATAAATTTTTAAATTCTAAAAAACATCTAATTTTTTTTTAACGTTTACCTGCAACTAGTAAAAATATCCATATACTTAGCAATATATAGCAATAAAGAGCTTTATGATGTGATGATATTTTCATGACACAAGTGGAAAAAGAATCATTTTTAGAACTGAAAAAAAAAAAAAAAAATTAAACATTCATTTTGAAAATCGATTTGATTGTTTTTGATACGATAACATAAAATATATAATTTAAATCTTTTTTTTTTTTTTTTAATAAAAATGTATACGAAAAATTATTACTTAAAATCAGGCCTAACCAATAAAATTCAATGAAATTCACGAGGAGATTAGTTTTCAAAACAAATTTGGTAAAAAACTTTAATACAATTTAATCCGACAATTAAAATAAAAATAGTAGTCAAAAGATAATTTAATATACCTTAAATCTGCCCTAAAAAGCTTTTCTGTAGACATCAGTACAGCTAAAAGTACTGTACTTAAAATTTAAATTGAACAAATCGATTAAGATTTGCAAATAACATTTTTTGCTGTTGTAAATATAACAATTTATTTCCACCAATGAAAAAAAAGACCGATTTCTTTCTTTCGTTTGATTGGTTGAATTTCACGTGACAAGCGTGTGCTTTTACCCATAAGGCGTTGCCGTTTTTTTTAGAAACAACTTCAGAAGTAATTATTGTTAAAAAAAATAAAGTAACTGCGTTACAATTTAAAATTAAATTAAAATAATAAATTTTTGACCTTAAATTTTAAGCATTTTGGATGATATCCTTATTATTTTATACCTGAAATAAAGTAAAAAAATTTGAGTGCTTTACCAATAATATGTGTTAGAGAGGCAACACTGCAAAATTTGTTTTTAAATTCAGTCGCAAGAAATTTTGCATAAAACAAGTGGTGTTTTATTTTTTTTTCTTGAATTTCAATATTTTTCTGTAAATTTTTTATTATTTTGTTTCAAAAATGATTTGAAATTCTATTAAAAACTATAATCATGTCTCATACTAGAGACACAGCTATTCACCTAATTGCAGGAGGGTGCGTATTTTAAAAGTTTAATTTAGTCGTATATTTCAAGTAAAATTTTGCATTTGAAGTACCTGTCTTAATTAAACACTATTGAAAAGCTTTAGGCAAAATTGATTTTGTAATTTTTTTTTGTTAACATCATCATTATTTTATAGAATAATTTTAGTAATGAAAGAAATTTTTGAATGAAATATTTCTACTCCTCACGTCATCAGACTTCATAATAACAATTTACCATAAACTACAGCTTTTAGGCTTTATTTTTATAAAATTAAAATAGTATTTTTATTTTTCCAATTCTTAAAATTTTTTGTATTTATATAAATTTGATTTAATTTTTATTTATTTGTACTTGTATAAAAAAAGCATAGATTGTTCCTTTAATGTTATTTTTGTTAAAATTTTTTAAAATTCCAAATCTCAATCATTCGTATAAAAATACTTATTGATAATTTTTATTAAGTAATATTATAGAAATATGTTTACATTTTTTTTTTTATAATAAAAACTTATAAAATTAAAACAAATAGATTAGATGATAAACTTAATTTTAAATTATAAATGTTGTAATAATATGTAATTATATTCTTGCAGATTGGCTGGTACTGTAGGTGCTGTGGTAACCTGTCCACTGGAAGTAGTTAAAACTCGTTTACAGTCCTCTCAATCTGGTTTCGATGTTAAAGTTCCAATAATTGCAACTCTTGAGTCTAATAATAAAACAACTTGCAAAACTATACCATCATTTAGAAGACGGTTAACAACTGTAGCCACATTTAAAAATTCAACACAAATGTTATCAGTGTCAAATTTTGTTGGTCTTCCAAAAAATGAAAAATCTGTTGGACTAGTGAAATGTTTCAAGTAAGTATTATGTAGTAATTTTTATGAGGGTAAAGGTTTTATTCAATTTCTTTTTTTAGTTTTATTCTTTTCAATAAATTATGCTTCATTCCATTGCATGTGATGTAAAATTTATCAGCATAAAAAATAATCAAATTATTTTTTTTTTAAAGAAAAATTTACGTGAAATAAAAATTTTAACTACAATTATTTCAACAAAAAATTTTTCCGTTAATTTAAAATGGATGACGTGACTGTAAAAGGTGGTGTTATGGCGGATGTTTCAACTCCGTTGTTTTTAGGTTCAAGTATTTTTTTACACTATATTTTTTTATAAATTTATCTTAAATAATCGTTATAAATTAAAAATTAAAAATTTTTTTTTTTTTTACGGGAAAAATTATTTTAAATTGAAAATTTTTTTTACGGGATGATAAAATATTAAATTGCGGCTTTGACCCTTCGTTATCTCAATAATGTTGAACTTATACAATCTTTACACGTGACCTTTCATACTTGGGAAATTTTCATTTGTTTACATTTTGATTAATGCCAGAAGAAACAAAACACTGGTTTCTTAAAATTAATTGTGGCATTACATAAATCTTTAAATCCATGTATTTGTAACGTTTATCTAATTTCCAAATGTAATTATTATTGTTATTATTATTGTTATTTATTTTATAAAACCCCCTTGCCTGAAGTTATCCTATAAATTTATTTTTTTTTAAGTAAAATTTATTTTCATGATAAAAATAATTATTATGGCCAAAAAAAAAAAAAAAAAGGTTTTTTTAACTTATTTGGATGTATATTTTAATTTCTTGATTTAGTTTGTCTGTACTTGTTTGGTTATTTTTTTTTATTTTAGACATATTATTAAAAATGAAGGTGTTCCAGCTTTGTTTCGAGGTTTGGGACCAAATCTTGTGGGTGTTGCACCATCCAGAGCTATTTATTTCTGTGCTTATTCTCAATCTAAAGATTTTTTCAATTCATCAATGCCTCCGGACACTGCTGTTGTTCATTTATGTTCTGCTAGCTGTGCAGGCAAGTTTACCTGATAGATAGTTAATTCAATAACGTAATTTTACCAACTTTGACTGGGAAAATTTTTTTTTTTTTTTTTTTTTTGTTATAAAATTACGAAATCTTTATTGTTACTCAAAAAAGTTAAAAAAAAAAAAAAAAGACATGTACGTGTTAATTTTTCTTTTTTTTTTCTTGTTTAATTATTTGTTTTATTTTTTCCTAATAGATTAAGTTGTTAATTTCCCTAATTAATTTTTGGAGGGGAAAAAAAAAAAAAATGTAAAATCGGTGCTTACAGCTTAATAACTCAACTATTAACTTTTATTATTTCTCTCTTATAAATTTCATATTTTGAAAAATTAATCAATTGTAAAAATTTTAATTTTCTTAAATATCTATAATCGAATTCTAAATTATTATTCAACTTACCTGGTCAAATAAATTATATGTATTAATTTTAAAGAATTAGAGCATTGTTTTAGGATTTATAGCTAGCACTGCAACGAATCCAATTTGGTTTGTTAAAACAAGGCTTCAACTGGATAGACAGGGAAAACAGGGGCCCAAAATGACGGCTTTTCAATGTGTGCAACGAATATACAGGAAATCAGGAGTCAAAGGATTTTATAAAGGAATAACTGCTTCTTATTTTGGAATATCTGAAACAGTCGTTCATTTTGTTATTTACGAAGAAATAAAGTCTCATCTAGTCGCTTTTCATTGCAATGAACAATCAGACACGAAAACATTTAAAGATTTTTCTGAATTGATGTTGGCTGCCGCCATTTCGAAAACAACAGCATCCTGTATTGCTTATCCTCACGGTTAGTTTTTTTGTTTTTATTAAATATTTAATAACTCAATTGGATTTTTTATTCATTATCTTTAATAAAAGTATCTTATACTGTCATAAAAATTTATTTATAAATAAATATTAAATATGGCTATATAATATAGGGAAAATTATTTATTAATTTTAATTTTTCAGAGGTTGCACGCACACGTTTACGAGAGGAAGGTTCAAAATATGTATATTTTTGGCAAACTCTTTCTACAGTTTTTCGAGAAGAAGGTTATAGAGGTCTTTATAGGGGTCTCGGAACACAGTTATTAAGGCAAATACCTAACACAGCTATTATGATGTCCACATATGAAGGCGTTGTATATATTCTCAGTAGGTACTGGATTGAAAACGAAGTTAACGAGACTGAAAACTAAGAAGACTACATAATAAATTAATAATTTATTCGATAAAAATGACTAATATTTTTATGTGATAGAACACTGATTGAGTATTAAGAAAAGCAATGATATTAAAAATTCAATTTGCTTTTTGTAATGCCTTTTTTTTTTTTTTTTTTTTTTTAAAAAATAGTAAAGTTAAGTTTGAAATACAAATATTTAATTAAACATTTATTTAATAAAAAAAAAAAAAAAAAAAAAAAAAAAAAGAGAAAGAAAAGAAAAAAAAGCTTGTTTTTAAATGATAACTAACTGTGAATTTTTGCCTTAAAATAAATTTTTGACACCAATTCATAGGTGTATTGTCTGTAACTAGTTTTTGAAATTTTAGTTTTATATATAAATTTAGATGTTTTTTTTTTTTTTTTTTAAATTACACATTTTTGTTAGCAGTATATAGTTATATATTTTGAATTATTAAACAAATGTTTGAAAAGTTTATTTCTTTTTTCTTTTTTTTTTTTAAGTGATCGAGACTACTCAAAAGGTTAATAATAATAAAAATAATGAATAATTAAATTTACCGTTAATTGGAATTTTATTTTTTGGGTTAATTTAAAATATTGTAAAACCTTTTGTGTTGTCGAAGCTTCAAACTGCCATACCTCTGACAATCAAGAGTGTTTTTGTTATTAAAAATAAAATATTTGTTATTGTGAAAGAATTTTTATACAAATCATTATATTTCCTAAAAAATATTAATAGTGCTTAAAAATTTGATTTTTTTTTTTTTGTTAACTATAAGAAGTTGTTAGTAAGTAAAATTCATGTAACTAACTTTTTTACAAAGATATATTTAAAAATTTTATTTAAATAAATGGAAATTAATTTTAAGAAATAAAATATTTATATTGAGTAGTACATTCATAACGCAAGCCATAAAACAAACAACAAGTTGATGTCTTTTAAGTGAATTATCTGGTTAAACATTATATAAATATCAGGGTTAAATTCTTTTTTAAAAAATTAAAATATTTTTATTTTGATTAAATTATTTACTAATGAGTTTTGTTTTTTTCCAATAATTAATCAAGGAAAATAAAAAAGGTGGGTTTTGATATTGTGAATATAGGAGGCTTTGCTCAAAATTTGGTTATTCCTATGGCTCCTTTTAAAAGCATAAGGAAGTTTTATAAATAATATATATTTTTTGCTTACATTTATTTTTAGTGATGAATTAAATATGGGATGACAGAAAACAAATCTAATTTAGTATAATTAGTGGAGTAGTTTTAATAATTGAACTGTATTTATAAATTAATATATGTTAATTCAAAAAGGTTGACATCAATATTTCAATATAAATTTAATAAAATTTATTTTTCATTTTAAATTTTTATAAAACTTTTTTTTAAAGAGATTTTACATTAAGTACTCATAATATTATTATTATTTATATTATATTTTTTAGAAGTTAAAGGAATATGCTTCCATAAATTTCCATGAGTTACAAATGGCAGGATCTATGCCAATCACAAATATTATTTCATACCTTACTGAGGCATTTAAAATCAAAGCAACTATGTTTTTTCAAACCTAGTACTTTGGAAATAAGTATATGTAAGCCATTATTTACTTTTTCATTTAATTTTTATACTTGTAATAACTTGTAATTTGTTTTTTTTTTTACTAAAAGAATGATTTAGATAACCTTTCTGTTACAGAAAGTATTTTTATTTCAATGTAAATTTATGCTTTTTTTCATATTTATTTTTCAGAATTCATTTTTTGTTACAACCTTATGTGCCAAACAAAATGGTTCCAAAACATTTAAGGAAAAGCGACGAAAGCCTTGGAAGTAATCAGGAGTGTCTGATGGCTGCACTAATCGAGTTACAAAATAAAATAATAAATGATAAGTCAATATTGAGGCAACCAATTGATACAGGAGTGAGAGGAGTAAAAGATTTAATAAAAGCAATAGTTGGTGGTACTCAAGAGGTGCTGAATTGTAATAATCACAATGCATGAATTATTATGTTTGAATTATCAAATTTTGTTTTAAGAAACTAATATTTTAAAAAAAAATATTTTTTTTATTCTTATAGTTGCAAGAATTACTGCTCAATGAATGTACAATAATTTATGAATGTAAGATATGCAGAAATTTATTTAGAAGTTTAGCCAATTTTATATCACACAAGAGAATTTATTGTATAAAAAATTTTTCTTTTTTTCCTGACGAAACTACAAAAGAGGAGGTAAGTTATTTTAATAATTTTTGTTTTAATACTATTTTCATTATCTTTACTGTATATTAAACCATTCAATATTTATTTCCACATAGTAGTTTTATTATTTTTTATCCTTTTTTTTTATTTTTTAAATATTTTATATTCGAGTCGAATAAACATCAGAAAAAAATCTTTTACGATTTTTATTCGCTCAAAGTATTTTATGTGTTATTTAAATTTTTTTTTTTTTTCTTTTTTTGTTTAGTATTTTATTTATTACTTTTTGTTACTTTTTTTAGAAAGAAATTGTGGAAGAAAATATAACAGAATCTGAAAAAGTAAATTGTAATAATGAAGTCAACTTGACAGATGCAAAAGTCTGGCTCTCTAGTGATACAATAGTTCCTAATAATGTTAAAACTGAAAAAAATTTAAAACCTACTAGGTAAGTACCATTATGAAAAACTAGAATAAAAATAAAACATGCATAAAATGAAAAGACCTATTAACCTATAAGTTTTTCTAAAATAAGCCAATGAATGGCCTTGAATTCTTTATATTGAAAAAATTCAGTTATTTTTATATCATTAACAACGATTAAATTAATAACGAAGGTGAAAGTAATTATGTGATATTAAACGCTGAGAAATTTTTATTTAACGAGTATTAAAGTAAGTCCATTGAAAATAAATAGAAAATGTGACATAGCTAAAATTGCTGATGGATTACGACAAAAAACAAGAAAGGAAAACTTGCAATCGCCAGAAACTTGGGCTCGACCAATGTTTCATTTGGATGTTGATGAAAAAGTTATGATTAGAAGAAGTCATTCGCAAAACCATTTTTTCCCTAGTGACAATATAAATAATAGTTTCTTAAATAATTTTTATCAAAATGGAAAGAAATTAAACGATAGAGAAAATTTGGTAAGTATTTAGTTCATTAATAAATTTTTTATTATATTAAAAGCATTCTTTCACTTTTGTTTATGTTAAACTTGGATACTAATCCAATTAATTTATTAAAACGTTTATGGTTGATTATTTATGTAGATGATTTCAATTATTAAACATAAAACCATTTTAATTGGTCAAAATATATTATGTATTTTCTGTTTTAGTCAATCGAAAAGGTTTCATCGTGCAATGAAGCAGTTTTACAAGAAGATGGAAAGTTCAGGGTTACACCTCAGGGTACGCAGTTAGAAAATAATAAAAATTTGAAAAATTTCACATGCACTATTTGTAAAACACATTTTATAACCAAGCAAGTATTGTCTCGGCACGTGCAAATTCATCATAAAGAAAGAATATGTTATCCTTGTCCAATATGTAGGACATTTTTCCCGAGTCCAAGTAGCACTTATAGACATCTTAGCAAAGGTGAGTTTTTTTTATAATAAAATAAAAAGTTTTAAAGTAGAACAGCAGTTCGACACATAATTAGAGAGAAATTATAAATGTTATGTTAAACTTTATATAAAATGTTTTGATGTTTACTTTTTCTCACAGTCGGTTTTACAATACTTATTTATTTATTGACACCTGCATTTTATTATCGTAGCATTCAATAAGAAAAAAAAAGATGGTTGATTTAATTGCATGTTTTTTTATTTTGATAATGTGCATTATTTGCAGATCATCATAAAACAGAACAACAAATTCGAAGATTAAGACCCAAAGTGTTGGCCAAAGCTAGTAAAAGAAAGTTAATAGATGGTATTCGTAATAAACAGGAGGATGTAAATAATGATAGGAAGTTTATACAAACTTTTGTTGGTAACGAAGGAGTTTTAAGTTGTAATAATTGTGGAAAACTTTTTAACCGTCAAGCCGTTTTAAGAGTGCACTTAACGTCTTGTAAATTTAAAAAAATGTACACGTGTAATACGATACCTGAAAAAAAAAACAGAGTTTCTCAAAATAACGGTTTACCCGTGAAATCAACAATTCAAAAGAGTGGGATATTAGTTAGAAAAGACTATTGTAAAAAATTAAATTGTGATTCTGTAAGTTTTAAATCTAGTTTAACGAATCAAATTGTGAGAGATAATTCGTTCAGTGAACAGTCGTCATTGAAAAGAATTAATAAATGGAAAAACGTTTTACAAAAATTGCAAACTAGAAACAACGAATTGGAAACGTCCGAAAAAGCCACCCTTAATAGAATAGAATTTAAACAGGAGAAAAAAAATTTCAACATGGAAAAAGAAATCGAAGAAAAGAAGAAAGCATTGAAGGAAATG